TACTTACCAAACTCTGGAAGGATCGAATCCCAGTTCGTTGCATCGTTCTGACACCTTCTTCACTCCTTCGGGTAAAATCGCAGCATCCTCTTTGTTTACGTTTGATATTATCAAATTGTCCTTCCCCACACACTTGGCCATATGCGTGTACTCGCACACACACCATTTACCAACTTCCTGCTCTAGATGTTCAATGATATACTTCATATTTGCGAAAACTTATTAGTGATGTATTAATTCTGCCCAATTCTCTATACATATCCCCTAATACTATAACTATATATGATCAAAACCTGATAAGGATCGCATATCATTTGCAATTCACACACATATTTTAACAAAAAAAAATGTACACGTGAATATCACTCTATTTTTAATCATAAATTCGATATAATAAACTTTAGTTTATATCTCGGATTTTGAGAATCCGATTATACATTTGCTGGGGAGGGGAGAAGAAATGAAAAGGGGGCCCACGCCCCCACCCCCAGGAGAGAGACCAAAGGGCCATGAGTCATGACTCAATGAACCATAAAAACCCTTCTAGTCATCCTTTTTTTCGGGGTTTTTCATAGATTTCTGATATCTTCTTTTTTCATGAGGGTATGGTTTTTTTTGTCATTTTGCGTTAAACTTCGAACGTAAACGTATATTATCTATTCAAAGGTTTATACATTATATTTTACGAAAAACGCTATTTAGATAAAACATAGACAGCTATGGATAAATACATCGCCTAAAAACAAACAACAAGACATGGACGTAGTTTATATTAGTTTGTTTCAAAACAAAAACGCAAATCGTATTGAGTTGAGAAGTTCAGTTGACAGTTGACAGTTGACACGGCTGACGGCGCTCAGCGCCTCAACCCTCATCTTCAAGTCCTCAACACTCATCAGCAGTCGGCACTGTCGGCAACTCGGCACTCGGCAAGCAGTCGGTAACTCGTTATGTATTTAGCAGAGTTTTACATAAATATATAAATACTCCATATTTTAACTAAAAATAGATGTATTTGAAAATACATTGTTGTTTTTCAGGCGTCTTTTAGGACACTATGCATTTTCCTTTTTCTTGGTGAGTACCGAACTTGATGACCGCGAGGTTCATTCCTACATTGCAACCGCACGCTCACAACACAGGCACCGGTAAAATAATCCTCAGCTCAGAACAACACTTACACTATAAACACTCAACCAAGAATACACGTGCTAAGCAAGAAGAGAGGTGCACACAGATAGGGAGCTGTCTACGTACGTTTCCGTGTGGCAATACATTGGACAAAAACATATCAGATCGAGCTTATACCATATCAAAAGCCATCATGAGCGTATCCAAAACCTCTAAAATGATGAACTACCTGAACTACAGGATGCGCATCTCGTTACAAGACGGGCGCACATTCATCGGCACCTTCATGGCCTTTGACAAACACATGAACCTCGTCCTCGGCGACTGCGAAGAGTCCCGCAGGTTAAAGGGGACCAAAGCCTCGAAAGCACCCCAGCGCGAAGAGAAGCGCACACTCGGACTAGTAATTCTGCGTGGTGAGAATATCGTTTCCTTGTCCGTAGAAGGTCCCCCCGTACAATCTGATACACGCGCCCAAGCCATAGCTCCCACTGGGCCTGGAACCGGTCGAGCAGCCGGAAGGGGTATGCCTGTGGCTCCTATTGCACATGCATCTGCACCTGCTGGACTTTCTGGGCCCACTCGAGGCGCCGCCTCAGCCCCAACACAGGCAATGCAGCCCTCACAAGCACCTGGGAGTGGCAATATGGGACCGCCTCCCGGTATGATGGGGGGTATGAGACCTCCAATGGGTGGTATGGGACCTCCTCCAGGTATGATGCAGCCTCCTCCAGGTATGATGGCACCGCCTGGTATGGGCCCACCCCCTGGCATGCGACCCCAGTACCGTGGACCTCCTCCACCTGGGTATAACAATCAGTTCCCGCCCAGAGGACCCGCACCCAGATGAGTTATATGAAAAGAGTATTAGGCGCTGAATATGAATGGAGGATGGGCTAGTGAAATAGTAGAATTGTATTGTATGTTGTTGTAGATAAAACAGATATTTAGAGTGGTTCTGGAGGCATTCTTTAGGCGGTTGTCGAGATGTATAGTTGACGCAACTGAGAGAGTTGCTTAACATTGTTCATCTTCTATATATATATATGGGGATATAAGGATAGGAACGCAGCGGAACACATTGGTGTAATTGTTGTCCTGATCCTGAATGTATTTATCGGCTATACTGCGGATTTAGAATTTCAGACAGTTGTATGAACCCCGAAACAGTGCAGTATCCCCTTCTCCTTGTCTGGTGGTATGGCACTTCGCATAAGAATACGAAGAAGAAAACACTAAGAGAGGTATTGGTGATTAGGGAGGTTTCTTAGGGTTCGACACTTCTGACTGTCTCGGTCTACGCTTTGTGTGTGCGTCCACCGTATATATGGGTCATGCATATACGTGTACGAGATCAACTGTTGCGTTTATATGTACATATATATGCAATAGCGTATATGTGTACATTGATATACAATAGCATATCGAACACCGGTTCGGTCGGCAGTGCAAGGAGCGTTGGATCTAGTATTCCACATGGTTACTGTGCACTAAAGCTCGAGATCTGGATGGGATTTCTGTACCCGACCACAACCCAAAGGTACAAATATTTTTCTTATTAAACCTTATGTATGTATGGTCATGTATGATACTTAATTTTCCCATACCCGGCCTTCGAGGTGTGAAATAACTAATCAGCGCGAAGATTATACAGCGTATGTTTTTTTCTTTCTATGACACCCTCGTGAACGTTGCATGAAGTATACTTGGTATGTTTAACGGAATTTTAGTTTCGCTTTTTGACTTGGATTGAGTATTTGTTATTTAATGCATCAATGATGTATGTCTCAGCGTAACTTCATATTCATCAAATCGCGATAAAATCTATTGCTTGTTGTATCCGAGGTACTATAATATATACAAGGTAGCCACCGAGGCCATAAGCGATTCGTGGTGTTTCGTCGTGAGTTCCGATTAGTAATTTTGCGTGGTAATGTCAAGCTTCGATTACAATCAAATCGCCAACTGCAGAAATACATGCAGGATACTCTGCCACATACTTCTCTTCAGAGGAGCACTTAAAATATCAGATGTCCTTTACGTATAGACCACAATTCAGCTCGCATCTAAATATAGCCGCGGGTTTTCCAAAGTATAAATTTACAATATATATATATATACATTTATAATTTTCTGTATATGTATCTGTGTGTGCACGTGCGTATACTATTTTTAATTTGGATACATGATGTTGTCAATGTATACGTTGGGGGTATAACTACTACTTTCTTGATCATTGATACAGTGGTATGTCATTGGTTTTAAGATGCGTGGAAGTGTCAGACCTTGATTTCGTACATATTCGCTGGATACAGATAGCGAATGCAGGAGAATGTACCACATATCGCAGTAGTAGAAAAATACATCATACGTGCAATCGTAGTTGATCTAAAGCTTGTTGTTAGAGCAGAGATTTGTGTTCAGTATAATAAAGTTGGTGCAACTACTATTTATGAAATATCCAGGCGTCAATCGACTTTCTCATATTATATGAAACATAGTTGCGAGTCTGTTGTGGAGAGAGATTGCAAGCTACGTTCCAGTGACTGATTAGATAATTTCTATTACTATTAATGACTCAAACAGAACGAGTAACATCTGATCTTACAACCCATTAGTTGGAATGTCAGCCCCATCTGCTATATTTGTGACTTGGTAGCATTGCAGAAATTAAATGGCGCTTTCAGGGCAACACATTTTGGTGTAAAATGCCACCACAGTACCACTGTTTTAATCAACACTTTATATTTATACATGTTTATACTGACTATCTTGACTTAGTTGCACTATTAGAAAGCCGATTCGCAAAGGTGGCATAGATTAGCAAGCACTCTTTACATATTACATATAGACTACAGTTCAAGGAAGATGTGTTCTTCCATGCCTTGGCCAGGTCAGTTTACACAGCGCAACATGGTAAGTATTGCTCTAGCACGCTTCTCTACTTCTCCCGGGCTTTCAATACTCAGTGATACTAATGCTATTTATTTAGTACAAGGATATAATTGTACGAGCGAGTGGACAGTGACCACTGTCCAACGAAGGAAATTAGCAGAACGGAGGGTGTTCATTTTCGTCAATAACATATGATTGAGAAATACCCGATCTGTGCATCAATACAATGCTACCCATGATTTTCGGGTGTTCATCTTTTCGCGAGGACCTGGGCCATCGGAAATATTGATCTGATTTAATTCGGTTCTATTAATAGAGAAAACAATATTTGGGTTCCCACTACGCGTGCCATAGTGCGTGAAAGTTCAATTTTACTGTGGAATGTGTGGTAATGATTACAAATATCCGAATAACACGAAAACCTGTAGAAATAGAGAATACTAGTTTATACATTCAGAATACATAAGGATGCACATTCGAATTATATAACAGATATTTGTTGGATCACGAGTAATTATTATATATCTTCAAGAGGTATAAAGTTTTATCGCATAGACATATTTACAGATGAAGCCGTATTGCAATATTCTTTGCATACCAGAATGACAGCAGAAAGATCAGGCTATATGCAAACTTCATTGGCTTCCATAGATAATTATGAACGTTGGGCTATCTCGCCACAAGCTCTAACCTATCAATTGACGAGAATCAACAGTCCACATAGCAACAATCTACCCTCACAAGTACATCTTCGAAAACGGCACCTACGCATATCTCATTTTTTTGTTACATATTCCTCTCGCCACTCTCTCGGTACTAATTTGACTTGTGACATGTTTTGACCCATCTCCGGCGGTAAACGTATAAAATTAATTGATTGGTCAAGTTGCATATTGTATAAACCAATGACCTATTTTAGTCTTTTAAAAGCTATAGAATTTACACCAATCATACGCGATAAGTATAATGCTAGAATTTGATTAGTGGGCATACTTTGATTTATTCTTGTTTATTTTACTCCGTTTGGCTTTTCGTGAAGTAAATAAACAAATAAAGGTTGACGCGTGGCCGTGGAACGGTTATCCCACGGCCCACCCTGATGTTTTACCATGTACTCCAAGGAACCGGATACTGGCTTGAATATATCAAGTATTTGATGGGAAAGTCAAATCATATAATTAAATCACTCGTGTCTCAACAATTCATATGTCAAGCAAACTACACAACTCAAAGTGACGTAAATATACTGATCTAATTAGCAGTGAGTGATACATAGTTTGCTATTCATATTCTATATAACCGTCATACACGCTTACAAACACACTAGCATAGCTGTATCATTAGTTAGCAAGACGAACGTCACGTATATACTCTATTGAACCGATCACTGCTAGTAGAGCATGGTTCGAGTGGAAGGCACGCATTTCGATACAAGATAGAGCTATGGCAACTAGTTTCAAACATGGTAGAAGATACGAAGGCAAAAGGATATCCATAGTTGTTCTGGGTGCACCCGGGGTTGGCAAATCGACGTTGGTGAATCGATTTGTCACGGGTATGTATCACGAGAAAACATGGTCAAGTGTGGATGAGATACGCGAAAAAACAATATATTTCGATAGAAGAGAGATCACTTTAGAAATACATGATATGCAAGGCGTCGACAACAATATGGGTGAAGCAAATAGGGCACGAGTATCGACTATGGCTAATAATGCAGACGGTGTTGTGCTCTGTTATGCAGTAGATTCGTCCCATTCCCTTAGAGTTGTTTTCGACATATATAAGCTGATTTGGGGTTTAAGAATACCAGATCATGCTCCAGTAGTTTTAGCTGGATTGCGTTCGGATGGCGTACTCGTAGGTAAGAAGGTTGTCACACGTTTAGACGGAATGAAGACAGTAGACACACTTGGTATCAGTAGAGATCACTTTCATGAAGTTTGTTCAAGAAAGAACAAAAATGTTACCTCGACATTCTACTCGCTTGTACGGCAAATACTTGCAGTGCAAAACCAAACCATATTAGAACACAAGAATACTAGGGCTTCGCGTGCACCTTCGATGGATAGTGTGTCAGATGCCAACTCGATAGTCAAAAGATCGATATCGGCACCTGGAGTGCAGCGTCTAGCAAAACGCTTGTCTATGGCTCCTGGCTCACAGTCTGACCTCACAGAAATGGACTTTGTGGCCATCCCAGAAATGACCGCATCCGTCTCTGTAAATGATATAGTGAATCGCTGGAGTGTATGTCAGGCGAACAACGGGGCTGCGAGCACGGGCGCACTAAACGCAGCATCGGCAACTGAGAGTCTGGGAAAGAGCAAGCGGAAACAATCGTTATCGACGTACTCATTCTCCTTATCCAGCAAGGAGAAGGACAGTCCGGTGAATGGTCGAAATAATAGAGCTGAGGAGAGAAAGAAGACGGCTGGAAACACATTTGGTAGAAGAATATCCACGACGAGTTTACGACATCAACACCAGGATCACTTACAGCGTAGATCAAGTGCTGCACTTCTCAGGACCAGTAGCTCTCAGACTAGTACCGGTCTGACACGGAACGGTTTTAAATTAGGTGGAGATAGCAGTTGTTCCACGAGTCTGTCAACCAACGACGGAAGCAACGGGAGTAGCGGGGTGTGTAGTCCTCTTAGTAGTGGTACCACAAGTCCAGATCAGGGAACTCCCAGCGATGCCTCGCCCAGATCGCGCAATGGCAGTTTGAACGAAAGCCCAGCAGACGTCAGCGTGAGCCCGAATATAGGCAAATCCGCCATAGAACGTCAGCTAGCAGAAAGGCAACGGGCCTTCTCGGAGAGTTCGCTTGTATATAACCCAGTGCGGTCAAGCCAGCGTAGAACAAAACTCCGTGATCAATTGCAAGACCAGATCAGCTCTACGGACGACACCAGCGCGAGTGGGATAGATGATGGTTCCTCGAAAACTGGCGAAGCAAATAAAGTCCGTTTCTCGCGTGACTACTGGAGTTCCCGAACGGATAACCTCTCGGCCTGTAGGCTGAGACTGACCCTCAGACACAGGCACTCTATGAATGACCTGGGCAATGCGTCGATAGAAACGAGCGATGTAAATAGTTTCATCAGTGCTGAAAAAGGAACAGTACAGCCGGCTCCGAGACTGTTGACGAGATCACCTACGGATCTACAAGAGGCTGTGGGGATGATGGGAATGGTTATGGCCGCCGCTAGAACTAAAAGCGCCTGCACCGGCACCGATTTGCGCGAAAACAAACAAGACTCGGGTATATCCGATTGCAGTTCAGGAGCATCCAGCGAAGCAGCTTCCCCTAATGTGTCTATGTCGGCTTCGGCTACAGCCTCTCACAAGAGCACCAAATTCGCGTCCGTAACCTGCAGTGTGCCTGACTTGTCATCTGCGGCATCTCCGGTAATGAATGGCGAGAGAGAACAGTCACCCCCGGTGATGAAAACGGTGCGAAGCTGCGCGACCCTAGGAACACCAGCGAATGCCCCACCTCCAGTTCAATTGCGACCAGGTGATTCAAGTTTGGAGCTCGAGAAAATATCTGTACATAACTCTCCTCCAGCGAGGCGTTCCGATGAAGCCATTCCGACCGTCACATATAGCAAATCCAAGGTACTGAAGTCCAAATCATCTGAGACCAATCTGCTTTTGAAACTTAAACAGTCTATATTTAAAGGAAAGTCGAAGACGCCCAAGGCAGAGAAACGTGCCACCGCTACCCAGCCTGTTGGACAAGACTGAGATGAGATGCAAGGACCGCTTGGAAATTTAGACATAGGATGACATGCATGTAGTTCAGCACATTCATTCTCAAGAATGTACTTCTTGATTTGTTGTAAATAATAGGTTATCCCAATTTAACGGTCCTTTCGCCTCTCTGGCTCATGTATATACGGCCCTGAGTACCACCTTATCACATAATAAAACTGCGCATACAATTATATCGCTTCGTTCATTGACCATTGAAACGATGGCCTTGCTTCCATTTTAGGGGTGACAATTCTGAGTCCTTCGCCGTACTACGAATTCCTCATGGGTGTCAGAGTTTTTGTAAGTTAACTAGTGTCGTGTTGAATCACGAATAAGTGAGTCGCGTAATGTCCTTCTCTGTCGGGATGGCAATAAAATATTGTAAAACTGCTTGCATTCACTTAAGTATATAGTGAATCTGGTAGTACTCTGAAAATGCCCACGGAAGCTGTGATTATTTCGATCAGTCCATGGTTTACGGACAGGCGAATGTTCGTGTCAGAGCAGCAAGACAAATATCCTACCCTGTTGATTAAATGAACCGTTCTGCATACTACTAAGAAAGTAAGAAGGATTCACTCAAATCAAGTAAACCGAAATTTGCAGTCACCGGTAGAAAGTCAATCACGTCCAAGACACTAAAGAATAGCTTAAGTGCGTCTGTGAACAAACGTTCCAGGAAACTCTCATGGAACTCCCAAAACATGCTGCCTGCTACTGCAGTAGGCGGCCAGATCGGATGACTTACCAAGCTTCGCAAACAAGGCACTACACGTCCGTCGACGATGTGTATTATATATAAGTATACACGATGAAAGCAACGGACAATTAATGTAACTCTTTATTAATCACTATCCGAATCATCGCCATAATCGACTAAAGCAAGCTCAGACGCTGATTTCTGTATCATCTTTTGTTTCTTCTCACTTTCTGGCTTCTCGACTTCCTCATGGGAACCTACGTATCGAAGATATACACACAACAACACATAACAGTCACGTTTACATACATGGACATAACGCGTCGCAACCAATACAAACATGACACACAACAACATAGAAAGGAAAAGGAGGGGAGAGGGAGGGCACGCTTTCCGTGGTTCATCCGTTCCAACAAACAGCGGATCGTTTGAGATAGATACAGAGTAGAGATTCAGTTTAGCGATGGTGAAGCAATTGTGAGGCTGATTCAGACACTGATAATCCAAGCTCGAGAAAAAAATGGTCTTTCGATGAAGGCCAGTACACATGCGTCGACTCCTTCAATATTTTAAGTAAAGTTTATAATTTGATTGTGTGCTACTTTTGCTAGCTCGGTTCCTTTCTTTTTTTGGTGGAGGTTTTTTTTGTGGTAAGATATTTGGTGCAGTTTGGCATGCAGCGATGTGTTTACGCTGTCCCATATATATGAACAAACAATCGTAGCCATCAATAACGCACACTCAATAGGCAAACAGAGAAAAGGTCGGTGCTAAATTTCGAAATGTATGTGATCAAATGTTTGTCAAGATATTGAAGATACAGTGAATAGACAAATCTCAGGGCTGTTAGCCAAATCTCATGGCGTATCAAGTATGAACAGTAAAACCACCACGTACATACTTGCGTTAATATACATTTGCACTAAAAATGTTCAGAGATACTATCCGCAATGGTGATACCTCACAAAAAACTATATGCAAATTTGAAAGTAAATTTCCATTGGACTCGACATGCAAGCAGTGCTACAACACAGGCCCACTCTACATACAACAATCGTACAACCTAACAACAAGACAGTAAACCACCAACATTACCGTTCTCAGGCCTCTCGGGATGTGCTTGCAGGCTGCGATGTCTCTGAGGCAGCGGTGATTGTGAGCGCGCATGTGCAGGGGGCGACGGTGATGGGGTACGCACCCTTTCTTGAAACCGACGTTTCCGCGTTCCTTCCCGACTATGAGCCCGGTCGAGTCGATCACTGGGACTGTTCGCAGCGCCCGATAATGTTTCCTGGAACCTCCGTTTCCTACTGACAGTAGCAGTAGCATTGGCATTGGCGTTGTGTGTCGGGGGTGGGGGTGAGTGTGTGGGTATGCGAGTAACAGATGTTCTGGTCATCCCTGGTATCGGCGGCTCTATCAGCGCACGCGCACCCAGCGGCAGGCGAGTGGGCGGTGCTCCCGGGGGAGGCGGCGGCAGATTCACACTCGCTAATACAGTAGGCCCCGCTGGCCCTGTTGTAGGTCTCGCAAGCGTCGTCCGGGCATTCAGTGCTGGAGACGAGATTTGGGGTGCAGGCATATAGGGGGGCGGAGGGCCGGGTGGGGGTTGCGTAGGCGGGGCGTGCATATGTGTAGCAGATGCGTAGCCGATTGGGGGATGACTGCTGGAGTGGGTGTATGCGCTCGCGCTCGCACTCGCTGGTTGAGGACCGGGGACATGCGGCGGGGGTGGCGGGGGAGGGGGGTGGTAGTAGGTGGCTGCTGGGTATCGGCTTTGGTGGGGTGGCTGAGGCTGACTACGGTGATCGTATTGTTGGTGCTGCGGTCGCGGGGGTGGTGGTTGCTGAGGTGCTTCGTTGTACCCATTGTTGTATCCGTTTGAGTTATAGTTGATGTGTTGTGTGTAACCGTAGGCATCGCCTCTGGCTAACCCTCCGCTGGGCCGTCTTTGGCTCTCCTTGTACTCTTCATATTGTTTTTTGACACTGTCCAGCAAACCCTGGCACAGTTGCACCGCAGCTGCCAGCTCTTCCGGTGTGTTATGGCTCACAAACATGTACATGGCTTCGAACGCTTCTTTCCCTGAGGATGGCTCCAAGAACCCTGACCCACGACCACGCAGAAGGACTTGACATCCGGTAGACTGGGTGATGTGGCTGAAGTAGGAACTGAGAGGACCCTATTGCAAACCGCATTCAAAGCGGAAACAGATACGGAAGATTCGAACGTTTGTTGGGGAGGAAATGGGTTTGGGGGTGGGGGGGGGAAGACATCAAGCAGCACCACACCAATAATAATCCTCCTGTCTAGAGAAAGTTGAATTGCAGACGTGTAGTGTTCGATTGGCTGCCATATACTCATATGCAAAGCCCCAGCTCGAAGTGCCGAGTGCGGTACAATGTTGAACTTACCTTGAGCTTCTCAACCACGTCGAATCCAGGCATGCTAGTCATCCCTACGAAAACTTTCTCTTGGCATCGCAAGCTCTGTGTGTGTGAGTACCAGCGCACGCGCAGATGTGAGCAACATATTTGATGTGACTATGGCAGACATTTTCTAACTACTCACTCTTCTCGTGATATACCCTATATGCATTTTCGAGAAGCCAAAAAATAACTGCATGTATATAACTTAGTATGCAGTTTTTAAATGATATAAGTATATGACACTCAAATATTTATGGATCTACAAGTATGCAAACGTGTCTATAAGTTGATAATAAAATATATATGTACAGGTATATGAAAGGAATTACGCTTATCACAAGCTACAGATAAAACGACAA